AAATTAATGTAGTCATTGGAAACTTACTTTTTAAAAAGATACACTTTATATGTTTATGTAAAGGGTCTTGCTATTTTGCCCAGGCCCAACTCTTGGGCTCCAGTGATCCTCCTGCCTCAGCCTCCTGAGCAGCTGGCATTACAGGTGTACACCACCATGCCTGTCTGTTTACTCTTTATAAATCAAAGAACAGAAAAGGAAAAAAAAGTATCAAATAAGTGTGTTCAGCCCACATATCATTTTGTTATAATAATGGAACAAATTGAAGATTTTTCATGAGAGAGGAAAAGAAAATGAGGTGGTTTAGAGTTCATTTTTGTGGAATTAATAGGAACAGGATAGTTATCAGCAGGTATGGTTCTTTTACATAAATCTTCCTAAAAGCTGTGTGATGAATTCAGGCCATCTGGAGGATGTGATAGATTTGAGTCATGTCTGCCTTATTTCGATCATCTTCTTTGTTAGAGCGTATTACCACAGAGTGTAGATATAAATGAGGAAGTCTAGCTCTTTCTATTACCTGTGTAATGTGTATTAGTCTGAGGCCTTAATTGTGCATAGCATTGTTAAGCTAAACACGAGTTGTGAGTCTGTTTATTTGTCCAAAAAAATGGGAAAACATTAGTACTGTAACTCAGACTGTTTTCTAAGAATCTCATTCATTTTCAGCCTTACTATTACAAATTAAGAATTATTTTCAAAGTCTTCTTATTTCTGAAGCATGTGAACATTATCTGTGTTGTTAAAAGTATAAGTCCTTTTAGAACTCTGACAGTGTTAGGAGGATAAAAAGTGTAAGTCCTACATGTTTCTATTATAGGTCTGAGATTTGGACTCCATAGTTTTTTTAGAGTCTTATTAGAATATTACATGTATTTCTAGAACTATTACTTGTATATTCAAAGTGCTGAGGGTAAAATTTAGGATAAAATTATAATTACACACTTGCTATTAGTGAAACAAGGTTGAAAGCAAGATTTAGAGGGTTTAAATCAAAGAGAAATGACACTTTTCACTATCAGTTTCCTTCTCTGTACAATGGGGGTAATAATATTCACCTCCTTTGGGACTGAAAGGATTAAAAGAGAGAAACGAGTGAAGCTCTTAAAACATTGCCTAGCATTTAATAAGTACTCAATGAACGTTAGCTAGTAAATAATGTTAGCTAATAAAGGCAAAGAAACCATGCTTATCTTTTTTTTTTTTTTTTTTTT